TCAATGTATCTGGATTTGAAACGGGGAAAAAAATACATTGGTGAATCTGATGATGTTGAGTTGAGAATCATGTTGAGTTGAGAATCATAATCTCTTCATAAAATAATAGCAATATGCAGATGCAGATGTACTTTAAACCACAGATATCTTGGACCCGGAGAGTGAATTGGAGCGAGATTGCAAGTGGCAGCCATCTTCACCCAAAAAGTCTCAACCCTCCGCTTCATTTAGTTCTCGTGCCGTCAAGTGATGACGAAACAAATTAATTGCACAATATGAGTACATTGGGATTCAAACATTGGTGTCATAGCTTTCTTTGGTCCTTCAATGTTTCTCCCGTAAAATAAAACTGCAAAAAAAGATCAAAACTGACTTGACCGGCATCTTTCTGAGCCTCTTCTCACAGAACCAATTGTGAAAACTTCTCGTTTCTCGCGAACAGGTTTAGTTCCGCTCGAGCACTTTGCCTGACTATATTTGTAATTTCAACCACTTACTGTCAAATCCCAAACACCCCGGGCTTGCATCCGACCAAATTGTATTGCCTCTGCGATTCTAATCATTGTTCAGTCATCAAGGTCGAAAGTCTTCATAGTGGAACATGAAAGTCAGAATTTCGCCCTCCGCGGAAAGACTTTTAACGTATTCGGATGATCAAGCGAGAGCCGCCATGATCTCAGCACAGCTCTTTGAGTCGCCGCAGTAAAGCGGCATGTAAAAAGTGCCTCAGGAGCGAAGCAAAGGGTTTTTATTATAGCATATCTTGTATTGTACTGTTGTTGAGATGAAGAAAATAAACTAGATGTAAAACCTTGATGGTGTCATTATTTTATTCCACATAGTTAAATTCGGGTCACTGATGGTGGTGCGGTGCACTTGCCTGACTTGCGTGCGAGCAGCGTGGGATCGATTCCCGCTCAGTGGCGGTGTGAATGCTCGCTTGTCTCTCTGTGTGCGCAGCGACTGACTGGCGACCGGTTCAAGGTGAAGCCCGCCTTCTGAAATACACTCCGGACCAACCCGGCGTACAGTATCCGGGCAGTGCAAGATAACAATCAGTCGCTTTGAAATGGATCCGTTAATGTGAGTAATTAAGAAAGGCATTTGAAGCGGGATTTTGCGGTTGAAAAGGTGTGGTAGATATTTCATCCAATCAGACTACTTGGAATAATTAAACTGATCAACTTAATTAGCTTAATTAAGTTGATTTGACTACGGATCACTGCCATATGGTGCAGGGAAACAAAAAGAGAGGGGAACTAATTAAAAGTAAAATAATGAGGATTTTAATTAACTGGTTCCCCAGACATCAGCAAGTGGGGGGGATGCCGAGTTGTAATTAAAAAGTCCTGTTGTGCTGGCAACATTCGAGCCCTCCCTGCTTTAATATCAGCGAGGGCTCCATCCATCTAATTAAATCTGTAAATGAATTAGGAACGTTGAAGGTCCTCGCCTTCGTTTGCCATCCAACCTTTGGATGCAAACCTTTAAGGCATTTGGAGATTTCTTTTTGCTCAGGAGGGGAACGAGCATTTTGGCAAAAGTACGTCACGGACATGGTTTTAAGGCACCAGCAAACCATGTATTAAAAATATTGCTCAGTGTGTCTCTTATGTTGTTTTGACTCTTTTGGAAAGAATATCTCCAAGAAGTCCAATTTTGGAAAGTCGGTGCCGAATCATGCTCACTTATAATTGCCCTCGAATGAAGGGCGCAACACAAAATGGAATCTTAAGGTTGTATTTGTTCTCGCTAATGCAAACGTTTACCTTCATTTGCTTTTCTTATGAGTGTTAATTACACCGCAAAATAGAATTGCTATTGTTTAACCTTCGGCTTCGAACTCCACCCAAGGACGAAGGATCCATTTATGAATAAAACGAGCAACCGCGGATGATCCGGAGAGACACGATTCACATTCACAAAGGATAAAGCAACCATCTGTTGAGTAATTAAGCGTTTTCATTGGATGTGGGATAATGCCGCTTAATTTAACCGAACGCGATTGTCATCTGTGGGAAATTGCTCGCGAGCATTAAAAGCTATTGAAGCATTTTAAGAGCAAACAGAAGGTTGACCAGATGAGTCTGCGGCGTGGGAAGCGCATTCCATTTTGACCGCGTCTTTGCCGATCATCAGGGTGTGAAATTTGAGCCATATTCGGTTTGCATCTCCTCAGTCCACCTGTCATTTTCTGGCTCCACGGCTGTCGTCATTGCAACCATTTTTATATGGGGTCCCATTTTCAGAGGTTTTTTTGTTTGTTTGTTTTTTTTGAAGCATCTCGCTACAAGTGTACCGTAGTTCCTTACTTTTACTGGAGACGATGAGACTCCCTCCCGGCGGCAGTCATGTTCGCTCCTATGCATCCAGACTCCAAATGAATTGCAAACCTGCCACTGGGAAACAGAAAAGGCATTGATTATTTTCACCAAACCGCCAAATTACCCTTTTCAATTAGTGTTCGGATCTATGCATGTCGCGCATGCAGCTGGCACATTCCCAATGTTCATTAAGTCTTCCGTGAGATTGCGACATCGTCATTCCCGCTTTCTGAAAGATGCCGATGTCATTAGCAGTTGTTTTCGGAGCTGGCTTTGTAGCTTTCACAATGTCTCTGTGGGTCAATTGCGCTTACTTGGTCCAACTTTTGGGTTCTTTCTTTGAAACGACGATTTGGAGTTATATTGTCTGGAGTCAATGTTGTGCAGTGTGCAATGACTGATTGATTTTGCCGTCTTTCGTCAGTTTCATGTGTTCACCGTTCTGACCCAGAGCTGTCTAAATCCTGGCTAAAAGCTAAAAACGCAGGGAATAAAAGGGCAGTTGTCCCGTCGGCACACCCAGCTGGCCACCACGAGGGCACTTTTAACTAGCTTGGCTGATAGAAATCTGCGCTGACATTTTCCTCTCCTTTCTGTCTGAAAGAGCTCTGGACCGACATTACAGTTAAGCATTTCAAAGGCCTGGTGAAATTGCTCTTTTTTTAAAATTTACCGAGGCCAGCTCTCCTGGGACATGTCACTCCGGGAGTCACATAAAATAAGACATGAAAAGGTGTTTCGAAACCAACATTTCCCAATAAAGCTGCGACAATGCAGTAATACAGGAGCATAAAGAGTGAACACATTCACGAGTCCGTCTGTAGGGTTTGCATTTTGCATTAAAGTAGCACACCTTTGTTGGATAAAACTATATGGCTTAGTTGAGCACGTTGCCGATATAACATCCAATTTTCTTGTGTTTTATGTGTCAGTTTTATAGTAAACTTCAACTAGAAGTAAGAAATATATCGACTCTCGGGTCGTCCTCTATGGCCAACCCTCTCAGTCAGCCAACAGCGTTTATGTGTGGCTATGTGGACCAAATTAGCATGTGCCCCAAGCGAAGCCAAGTGTATCACTAAATACAAAAAAAAAACCCGTCATTGTTAGTGACGTTTTGTCCACAAAATGTCGAAATATTGCCTCACGATCAGAATATAAATAAAATTGTATTCTAACAGTATTCAACATTACTCTATGCTGCCCTCTGCTGGTCAATTAATAGAAAGACCCAAAACCTGTTCTCGTTATTTGTCGGAGGCCCATCTGTCCACTGGAGCGCTCTGTAATTTATGTTAGTTGTTGTCATTGCTGTCAGCTTCTTTCTCTATGCATGCGACAGTGGCGGAGCGCTCGAATTAAAAGAGCAATCCATCATTCGAGTCGAGTTTGAGCTTGACACTTCACACAGAGTGAGGAGAAAGGGCCGAGGTGATTCATGACAAACATAAGAAGTCAGATTCATGTGACTTTAAAACCCACTGACTGACTACAGTATAGAGCAGTGTTTTTCAATCTTTATCGAGCCAAGGCACATTTCTTTCATTGAAAAAAAAAATCCCGCGGTACACCACTTGTTGAAAATGTGGAGAAAAAAACGGATTTTAACAAGTGTTATATTGTTATCATAATCAAATCAACATCAATCCAATATTTTATAATCTTTCATATTTATTCTCACTCAGTGTGATAAATGGTTTGGATGAACACAGATCTGGTATCCTGGCAGCAATCGATGAAGGATACAAAGCTCTTCTTCCACAGCTCTCATTTTTTCTATGTTTTTAGTTTTTACAGCAGTCAGGCTATTTCTTTAGCCGCTTTGGGTCCGAACATCTCATTTACAATGGCTTTGCAGGCGGCAAGTATGAATTGCGCTGCCACTTTTTTGATATGGCCACAAGTTCAGCGACACGGTACCTTGCTTTCAAGGCTCTCTCGTTTACCTTTGCGGTTTTCTCATGCACGTTGCTTGTTTCTCCGTGTGTTCACGCAGGCGAACAAAATACTCCACGTTGTTGTTTAGCGGTGAAGGGCGTTTTGTTTGGAAATGGACTTTAAGCTTACTTGGGACAACAGTTGCTTTTCACCTGCCGTTGCATCTCCAGGAAAAGTCAATCCAAATGAAAGAGCTTTCGTCGTATTGGCTCGCGCCGGAAACTTGGCTTGTCTGGAAGCACAAGGCAATTCGCTAGCAGCTGCTGCTCCCTACCGGTATGGAAGAGTACTACACAATTACTCTGCCGGGGGAAAGACGGCACAGGCATACATGTTGGAGAATTTCCAACGGCACACCACAGGGTTTGAAAAACACTTCTTCTTCTTCTCCTTTCGGAACGTCCCTTTTCAGGGGTCGCCACAGCAAGTCATTAATTCCCATCCGTCCCTGCAAACCGCCCTATCAACTCGCATGTCCGTCCTGGCAAAAGTTTTACGCCGGATGCCCTTCCTGACGCAACCCTCCCCATTTTTCCGGGCTTGGGACCGGCACCGGGGAACAGTGTACCCCCAGGGGAGGGCACTGCTCCCCAGCGGCTGGGTTTGGGTTTGAAAAACACTGACTTAGTGGAATTCCATACAGTTGAAAATGCCTGAGGACAAATTTTAAGACCGAATTTCACCATCTAAATGCAAGGCTCCTGTGACTTTAAAATAAAATTTCAGAACATACATGTATTCCAGGGTTTTGATTTTATTCAAAATAGACACATTTCTGTACAGAACAAAACCCACTATCTCCACAGTCCTTCAGGGTCCAAATATATATTTTGGGGATGGGATGTCACAGTTGCCCATGAGAGGAGTGTGATTTTCCACACTTTAATCCCTCAAAACACTCCATGTGTCCAAAAAGCCGGACGAGTGAGAACATTTAAAAAAGGAAAGAAAACTCAAGACATTCCAGTTTTATATTCAAAGTCCGACATGGCCACTCTTTGAGCGGAATGTTCTCATCAGTCTTTTCACTTGGAAACCAAGTCTTATGTCAAAGCATAAATGTACGTTGTGCAGGTTTTGGGATTGACTCAACAGCAGTCGCGGTTGCCTGCAAGGCAGCCATCCCAAGCAGGAAGCTATCATGCGGCAAAGCCGGACACGATATGATCAAGGAACATGTCGTTTTCCTTAAAATGAGGCCACTTGTCTTGTGTTTTCAAATCAAACATTCACCAAGTTGTGCTCCTTAAAAAAAAAAAATGAAAGAAAGAAAGCCAAAAAGTTCTTCTTGTCTAAAACACTCGATCAAACTCAGTCTGACTGGTGGTGGCGGGGTTTCTGTTCTGGTTGGGTGGCTGTTGGGGCATGTGACCTCTCCGCCGGGGAGGAGCCAGATATTCAAACATGGAGGTGTTGTGGGTGGAAAGCATGTTCTTCAGGTCCGACGGCATCGGGTCGGACCAGAAAAAGTCATGGTTGAGCGCGTCGTCGCTGTCTGTCCGCTGGGCCGGGTCCAGGACCAGCAGCTTGTCGATCAGATCCAGAGCGTAGGGGTCTTTGACGTAAGCTTTGAGGCGATCTTTCACTTTCCTCTTTTGGCCTTTGGGGAGCTCCATTTTCTGGTACAGCTCGTACTTCTTGTCTACGCCTGGCCAAACCTTCAGAAAACAAACACAATCAATGAAAAACGGGACTACCTTGACTAACAAGTGGCCTGTTTGTTTTTCAAACTGTAACGAGGTTGTTTGACGTTAAAAGGGCGTCGCCGTAGAAGACGTACCTCAGCCGTGATGGAGCCACAAAGTTGGCTGATGAGAGTGAGCTGGTGCTGCTCGGTGTTCCCTTGCATGATGGGACTTCTCGTCCACATCTCTGCCATGATGCAGCCTGCTCCCCACAAGTCGATTGGGGGGCCGTAGTCTCGCTCACCTAGACCACACAAAGCAAAAATGTTCACAATAATCTAATTCAAGGCTGCGGTTTGTGGAGGAAAGGGGGGTGGGGTGGACCAACTGAAAGCAGTCAGTCGGCTTTATTTTTTTTCACAACTTTGCAAGGGCGGTCCACGCTTGCATCTTGTTTCATGAAACATGAAAAGCTGAAGTGAAAAAGCCACAGATGTGTTTGCAAAATTGTTGTCATCTGATTTATGAGTTACTAATTAATGTTTACACCGCTCTTGTTTGGCAGAATTTGGTCTTCTTACCAAGCAGCAATTCCGGAGGTCTGTACCACAGTGTGACCACACGGTTGGTGTAGCGGTTCCCTTGGCTGTTTTTGGCCAGGCTGAACGCTCGAGCCAAACCAAAGTCAGCCAGTTTCAGGACGCCGTCTCTGGTGATGAGCACGTTGGCCGCCTTCATGTCTCTGTGAAGGATCTGACAACAAACAGCATCATGATTATGTACTCTATTAGTAAGGTAAAGAAGCAAACTGGTTGACTTTGTCGTTCCCGTCTTGTTTAACAACAAACATTTGCATTTTTTTTTTTTGACAACCATGCGTATTTGTACAAAACTTGAACATGTGCTCCAACTGTGAATTTGCCCTACCTTGTTTCTGTGAATGTAATACAATCCATTGAGCAACATTTGCATGACTTTCTTGATCTCCGCCAGGGTGAACTTCACGTTCGTGTTGCTAAGCAGCCCGGCCAGGTCGTGCTCACAGAAGTCAAACACCAAGTAGATGCTGCCTTTGTATCGATTATACTGGGTAGCTGGAAGAATAATTGCAGACAAACATCATCCAAGCAATCAAAGTTTCACAACATATATCGAATTTATGGTCTTATATAAAGCCTGCCACTCTTCGTCAGTTTAAGTCGAATTAAATGTAACATGAAAACAAAAAAAGGGCCTAGCGGTTGATTGACATCACACCTTAAAAAAGATAGCAATGAGTGTTTTGACACCAACCTTTGGTTCTGCAGATCTCAATCAGATTCACCACATTCTCGTGTTTGAGCAGCTGCAGGATCTTTATCTCTCTCAGGGCAGTGATTGGGAACTGAGACAACAACCACAGAGCAATTTTCCTAACTCAAGGGTTAGTCACTTGTACACACAATGACGGGTCTCGAAAAACGGTGCCCGCTTTATCTCTCTCAGGGCAGTGATTGGGAACTGAGACAACAACCACAGAGGAATTTTCCGAACTTGTCACTTGTACACACAATGACGGGTCTAGAAAAACGGTGCCCAATTAATCGAAACTAACTGATGCACAGCGCCATTCATGCAGAGATGCTCGGAAAGGTCAAAACTTCTGAAAGTGATTCAATGATCATGAAAATCTGAATCTGGGGATCGGTCTCGAAGATTGGTTTCCACAGCGCCATTCATGCAGAGATGCTCGGAAAGGTCACAACTTCTGAAAGTGATTCAATGATCCTAGAAAATCTGAATCTGGGGATCGGTCTCTAAGATTGGTTTCCTTGTAATAAATTGATTGATCGAAGATTAGGCTAATTCATGCCATTGAGAACTTTGAGGCTGTCTAAAATTGCAGACAGTCCGTTTCCAAAACAAATCCTATCTGGACTTTCGCCTGGATGGGAAAAAAATCAAATAGCGGGGGCCAGATGAGCTTTAAAAGTACTGAGGAAAACTTCTTACCCCTTCCTTCTCATTTTCCATTAAAACTTTCTTCAGTGCAACCTTCTTTCCAGTCTGTCGGTGTTTTGCTTTAAACACCTCCCTGTGAAAAACATGTTCAATTAGACGAGTTGATCACGGGTAAACTCGCGTTAAACAATTGTGTGGCGTATTAAACTTTCAATTTATTATGGTTTTCTTATTATAAACGCGACATACAGAGTATATTAAAACAGAAAAATACACACACCCACAAATATTACCACGCACTCAGCTGCAACACGTTTGTTAAATAAAGTCTCATAGAAGAGGTCATCGTTATTAGTTGGCCGACCAGCTGTTAATATTTCTTGACCTACGGCTTAGTCAACGGTTGCTTTGTTTACAAATCGTTAGCAACTAGCTTGGTAAGTCAGGTTGAAACGTGGCGACGATTCTCTCTTAGGTATGTACATATAGCACTCACCCAAATGTCCCTTGTCCTATTTTTGCTAGTTTCTCATATTTGGAGAACTCGTCACAGAAGGGGAATTCAACTCCATGGTAGTATTTGGACATAATGGCGGCCTCCCGGTCAGGCCTGCAGAGGAGACATTGCACTTGATATTAAGCGAACAATACACACGCTGAACAAACCAAAGTGCACATCAGAATCATAAGTAGGAAAAATTAATTCGACGCGTTTTGTGTATGCAATCTTACTTTTCAGCCCCGCCGGAGTTACTGTTTTTTTCTCGCTGCATGACTGCTTTCTCAAGTCCGTTGTTTAGCATGTACGAGGAGTGCAGCACTTTTTTCTTCGTTTTGGCTTGGCTTTGCAACCAGCGTTCAAGCACATCACCGCCACCAATCGGACTGGAGTGCGAAACAGTCGCTCGTTGGAACACAATCAGCGCGGCTTCCGGTGTAGCGAAACCGGCCGTTTGTTGACGTAGGAACCGTTTGTGCGAGTGCGCTTTCTTTGACAAACATTAGCAACGTGGGAATGTCAGCTGTTGCAGGTTAGAAGAGAAAACGCCCCTCATCGGTAAAGAGATTTTTTTTCAAAGGTCTCCCATATTTTTTGTGTGAAAATCTTTATTGAGACTATAAACAAACATGCTGCATAATAGTTTGCTTCCGTAACGTCATGATAGACGTCACGCCCCAACACCATATTTGGCTCCAACTTCCCTCGACAGCTCAACATGCAATAATGGTTTGCCTGTCGTGTGTGTGGAAACCGTCCGTGTTCGCGGCGAGGCTCAGAAAGCGAGTCTGGCCGTACAGGTTGGCGGGCTTTTCAGTTCCACACTACAGCACGAAGACCGCTCCTCATATTCCGGGAATGGATTACCAGGTGAGCGCTGTCCGTAAGAACCTTCCGCGGCACGCCGCTCGCTAGCTCGCCGCTGGCTAACTTCTCCGACAAATTTGAACCGCAACTTTTGAGTTGCGTCAAAGTTTTCCCTAGGTAGTCATCATGGCTGACAGGAGTACGTTCCCAATAGGCCTTATTTGACCCCGTCGGTGAAGCCTCACGACTGTACAGTCTCGATCTCGTGCGTCTGTGTCATCCGAAGCGTGGGACGGAACTTTTGACTCAACCCGAAAGGCAACTGCCACATGGAATGATTGTGGCTTAGCCAAACGTCAAAGTGTAATTAGATAGCAAACGCAACACGTGCTATCCTCTTTCCGAGTTAAATAGAAAGAGGTGGAGTCGAGGTTATTACGATGCCGTTTAATCGTCGCGGTGATGCCAAAGAATCTGTTATGTGAATCGCAGTAAACGTTAAATCGCTGCTTGGCACCGCAAGCGCGTCCCCGTGATGACTAAATTGCGATTTTCTTTCCTCAATATTGCGATTAAATATTCAATTATAATTTTCAAGGTCCTCTCCCTAATTGTGATTAATATATGGGCGTGGAATACTGCAATATCAATTATTTAGAAATGTATTTAAAGAAAAATAAATTTTTATCATCCAATGAAAGGCATACATTTTTTCATGCGGCAAAATAAACAGGCTCAACGTAGTCTTGGTAAATCAATTGTGACATGTAAAATGTTTCATGTAATTGTGGACAGCTTAATTGGGTTTCTAATCAAGTAGTAGTAGTGTTCCTTTAAAAAAAAAAGACCTTTGTTTTGTTGACAAAGGCGGTACCTCATCAATGAACGATAAGAGCCCGATTAAAATCTGTAAATCAATACTGTATTTACAACTGTATTACATCAGCAAGACTGGGGGGATTGCATGATGAATTCCATGGTAGTAGCAGCTTGTAAAGGCTTTGCCGCGTGTGTTTTAGGATGCCGTTTGTACCCTGAACACGCTCCAGACAAACGCCAGTGCTCTGGAGCAAGTACGGCGAGACCGGAGCCAACCCGAATTGCAGCTTCAGGCCATGCGGGGATTCCTGGAACGGGCCGGCCTCACTGTGAGTAGTAAGCTCAAACAGTCCCAAGGTCACATTCTATGGCTATAATCATTACAAACAAAGCTATTGCTGTTTGCCGTGATCCCTTCATTACTTATTACATTATCCCGGTTATCTTGTGTTTTGTTTTTCAAAGGTGAAGGAACTAGACCACCTCAACATCATTCATGTGACCGGAACAAAGGGCAAGGTGAGTTGACCTGGTGTGAATGATGAAAGCAAAGCGTGTCTTTGGACCATGGGAAAACGCAGCGTCTCCTAAGCGCTCTTGTATGCTTTAATTAGAAAATATTTATTGAGTTCTTGATGATTGCGTTCTTGTATTTAACTCGTGCACGTTTTATGTACATCACTTTGTGGTTAAAGTGCTCTGAGAATAAAGTTGAGTCATTTAAGAAGGAATTGGCAAATACAAATTGCAATTTCATTTTTGGTGTTTCAGGGGTCAACGTGCGCATTCACTGAGCACATTTTGAGAGGTTATGGCTTCCGAACAGGATTTTACAGGTAAACGTTCACACTGTTTTATGATTCAGTCGGGTCGCAGTTCTGCATGTGCAGATTTGGATTTTGTTTTTTTGTTTTGGTGGAAAGTGAGTATCAAATGCTTATCAGCGGGTTTTTTTAAATGTTTTTTTTTCCCTCTGGTTATAGCTCCCCACATTTGGTGCAAGTAAGGGAGAGGATTCGAATCAACGGACAGCCGATTGGAAAAGACCTCTTTACCAAATATTTCTGGCAGGTTTATGGACGGCTGGATGAAACAAAGGTGGGTCGTGCAACAGGTCGCACATGTAAGACTTGACAGCGTTTCATTTCACATGGTACTGTCGTTAGCGAATGAGTAGAAAACCTGCTGACGATTAAGGCTTGTGAAATGGTATTCAGTTTAGTTGTCTCGTCCAAAATGAGGCCCTTGACATGGCGATGAGGATGACCTGCACGTGACACCGGAATTGGTTCACATGACTTGCATCAAGTGACGTGGAATTCTCTCGTGACTGTTGTCGAAAAGTGCTATCGCTTGCTATCCTGAAACTCGCCGGCATGTTAATTTACCCACTCGCAAATGGAATGCCAAGCTGCATGTGGCGTGGCTGGGGAGGGGGGGGCAAGGTGCGGAGTTGTTGGTTCCCCCCAAAAAACGAAAACTGATTTCTTTCGAATTTTGCACTTGAAATGGAACAAGTTGAATGCTGCGTTCCACCACTTTTGGGGACTGCGAAAAGGACAAATCTCCTGGGCCTACATTTGAAGCGGTGTCATTGACATCATTGAGCCATTCTTATTCAAATGATTTGATGTCATCTTATTTTTTCTTTTTTAGGAAGCCCATGATGGGACAATGCCCGCGTACTTTCGCTTCCTCACCATCTTGGCCTTCCACGTCTTCCTTCAGGAAAAGGTCGGCATTCAGATTACAGCAGGTTTTCGAGTTTGAAGTGAGCCCAGCCAGATTCCGTCGCTCCCCTGCCGCATAGTCAACGGCTCGTTGCTCTACTTCTCCAACGACATCGCTCAAGATATGCGGAACTACATTTGGAAGGAATCCTGCCAGTCTGATGGACGGGGATGTTTCGGTCCTTTTGTTCAGGTGGATTTGGCCGTGATTGAAGTTGGGATCGGTGGCGCGTATGACTGCACCAACATTATAAGGCAAGAAACTATTGCTGCTGTCATCATAAGCTCCAGGGAAAAAAAGGGATGGACAGACAGGCTTTGCCATTGTATTTGGAGCTACAGTTTGGATGTGTATCTAGTGTAAGCGCCAGTTGCAGTTAGCGTTTGCTCATATTTACCCTTTTCTTGGCTGCGCATCTCAACAGGAGACCGTGGGTATGCGGCATCTCCTCTCTGGGGATCGATCACACGCAGATCCTTGGAGACACCATCGAGAAGATTGCCTGGCAAAAAGGGGGCATTTTTAAGGTCAGCACTTCATTGCTTTCAAAAACTGGTTTTCCCATCATGCGGCAGGATTTTTGCTCTGACCCCCCTGCCCTTTTTCCTCTGTGTTTCTCTGTCCAACTTTTGTTGGTTTTTTTTTTTTTTTTTTTTTAGCCAGGAGTCCCTGCTTTCACCGTCAAACAGCCAGAAGAGGCCATGGAGGTGCTGAGGGAAAGGTCCAAAGAAATCAGCGTAAGCAACCGTCCATTTGATGTACCCGTTTTTTGGGACAGGGACCATATCATGGAAAACAAATTTCTCATTGCTTGTTTACATAGAAATTGGCTTTCTGGAGGGCCTGCCCACCAATTCAATATGGAACCATTTCAAGTCAATTCTTGAGCCGTCGTGCAATTTGGCCGAAGAATGTCTTGATACCTTTCTTGATTTCGACACCTGGGAAGAGTTTGAAATGATGTCAATCACACGGTCTCGGTGTCAATTGATTTTGTATGACTGACCTTATTGTCGCAGTGCCCTCTGTGGATGTGTCCGGACTTTGAGGACTACCAGGCCAACTGTGGACCTTTAAAATTGGGCTTGGCGGGACAGCACCAGCGATCCAACGCCTCGCTGGCCCTGCAGCTGAGTCACACTTGGTTGCAAAGGAGATGCCTACCGGGTAAAGGCTTGGAGGCTTGCGGGAGAAATTTAAACCTGGGGGAAAAAATTCAGAGGATTCTAAGCTGGTGTTTTGTTTTTTTGAACAGATGAAAAGTTTTTGTCTACCGGTGTTGAGACTTCAAGTATACCCGCAGCAACTCCCTTCACGCCCTCCCCCGTCATGAAGAAAGGTACAGCTTTGAAAAAGTCTTCTCAGTGTCGAGCCGGCCCAGTAGCATGCTCTATTTTGGGACCTCACAAAAGATGATTGTGTTTCATCATTTTGTTTTTTCCCCAAAAAGAAACAAGCACGGTCATTTCTGGACTGCAATGCACACCCGATTGAAAGCCACCGTAGCAACATTTAGTCATAAAAACAAATGTGCACATACGTTGGCCGCTTTGAATCATAAGCGTACGTGGGTCTCTGTGTTAAAACATGCGATGTTTGCAGAGAAACAGGTCACACCGGTGAATTGACTTTTTACTGTGCGCGTGTGCGCATCAGGACTGGCAGACACCGAGTGGCCCGGACGAAATCAAACGATTCAACACGGCGCAGTCACGTACTTCTTGGATGGCGCTCACACCATGCGCAGTATGCAGGCCTGCGTCAGTTGGTTCCAAGAGACGGCAGCCCAGCGTGAATTGAACACAAGGTGCGCGACCGTCAATCTCGGCGGTCAACGCTGGCGGCCCGCCGGGAGGATGAACCTTGAAATCTGTGTTGCAGTGGACCCGTTGCAAGAATCTTGCTGTTTAATGCCACGGGGGAGAGAGACTGTGCGGCCATGCTAAAAGTTCTTGCGGTGCGTAGCTGGATATACAGCTTGAAAGGAAAAAAAAAAAAAGTATTACGGTACATTAAATTTGAATAGGAACACAGGGTTGACACTTTTTTTTTCCCCATTCTTTTTCAGCAATGCCATTTTGATTTTGCCGTGTTTTGTCCTAACATCACTGAGACCACCACGTCGGGTAATGCAGGTAAGATCACTGAGTCCTCCGCTAGTTTCATTCATCGAAAACGTTCTTTTGCACGATTGTAAATGGCAAACGCTTTCCGCAATTTCTCAATGTGAATGCGTGTGTGTGTGTTCCTGCATGCGCACAATTTATGTCATGTCGTACTTTTACCTTGATAAAGATGAACAAACCTTTCCCTTTTGCTTCTCAGACCAACAGAACTTCAACGTATCCGTGGAGCACATGTTGACTCGCTGCTTGGAGAACGAGAGAAGCTGGCGTCTGCTCGAGAGCACGGGGAAAGCCAGTGGCACACCGCTGCTAATCGAGGGCAGCCTGCCTTTGGTCCCTGAGGAGAAAGAGACCACGTTGGTGTTTCCCTGCATCCTCAGCGCCCTCCAATGGATCACACAGGGAAGGGACGCGGCGCTGGCGGACCCTTCCAAAAACGCCATGCCCCTGAAAGCCAGCGTGATGGCCAAGGCCGCCCCACTGTGCGACGTAGCCGAGATCCACGTCCTGATCACTGGAAGCCTCCACCTGGTGGGAGGGGCACTCAAACATCTTGTCCCCGAATCCTCCAAGTACATTTGAGGCTGTTCAAATTGGAATTCCAACGCAGGAATATGAATGTCAGTTTTAAAATGGACATTTAGGGCGACCCACAATAATGAGAGTGAGACTAACAATACCCCGTGTCAGTCATTTGGAGCGAGGCAGTTTCCCCCCCACCATTCAGAATGGCCCGACTCGCATCAAACCTTTTGCACAACAGGGCCGAGCTCAAGTCTTAAGTCCCACTTGAAGTCAATTGTGTTTACATAATGGGTACATTCAGCAAAAACGAGCTGACGTTGTTTGTACTTCACTGATTCCAATTGCTACCTATTGTATTTTCAATAAAATAAAAACATGTCTATACTGTATTGGGAGAAAATTTCTATTTGGAATATTTTTTTTCTTTGAAAGAAAACTGCTTCCATCTTATTTTTTTGGTCCATATTTAAATTTCATTTGTCCGTGTAAATTAAAAAATAATCAAATTCTGTACAGTGTCTTGTATTTCGTAGATTTTACACGAACGCGGGTCCTGACTTTAAATTGGTATTCAGCGGCATAAACACGAACGTTCACCCTGCACAAGACTCAAGTTAACAATTTTTAAATGACCCTTTTCACTTTCAAAAGTTTGGTGGGCATGCGTTTAAATGAACGTCATTTGTAAGTCGCGCTGCATTGATGAATACATCTGCTGACATCTGAGTGTATGAAAAATGACAAACATTTTTTCCTCTCTCACAATAGTTCCTACAATGATATGTATGTGATAAATCAAATACAAATGATGTTATTCTCGAATATGAATTTGTGTATTTTGTGGCAAAACTTGGAGAGAGCGCATGCGCGGATGAACCTGGACGAGACCGGATGTAGAAATTGGCGCGGGGTAAGTGACGTCACTGCGCAAGGCGCCCTGCAGCTGGCGGTGAGTTTAAACGCGTCCGAGTTGAGGGCTGCAGTACGTAAAGTCGTAGTGATTTCTAGTGCATGCTGGGGTTTTTTTTTTTTTGTCCACTTTTCCCACTCTAAAACAGAGGTGATGCCAGGAGACAGGTAATGTTATATTTATTCATGCTTGATTTAAAACTGAAGTTTGGGCCATTCCATCTCCCGGGTAACGAAACAAGAGTTCCTCGGCGATGTTCCCGTTTCCGAATGTCTATGTCTTTCATGCTTAAATCGTTTCTAGGTTTAAATTGTGCAACGCTAAAAGTGTATCGGGTAAGACGTCCACTTTAAAATTACCGGATTGCAAAATGAGCAAGATGTAGCCTTTGCGTCCAGCCCACCGCGCTTAGTGGTGGTGGAGCCTTCCGCTCCATCTACCCTTTCTCTGGAGTTTAATAAACCTTATATTCGTGGAAACCCTTGCAGAGAGAGTGGTTTCTACGGTCATTTTCCCGGAAAGTTGTATGCACATGCGCTCCAGTCATTTAAATGACTCGTTGAGAATTTGCGCGGTCAAAATGTTGTCCCAATATGGCGGGCGACGCTATCTTGCAGGGAAATATTGTCTCGCATTGCATTGTCCGCAGATCTTGAACGACACCTTGTCATCCGCAATAAGGACGCAAAACGACACGCGTATTGATTTCTCTTCCACGCAGCGTGCCTCTGAAGGATTTGCTTCGCTTCGATGTCCAAGGCTCCATGTTGTCCCAGGCCAAGAGCAGCGGCGGCAGCAGCAAGCGCAAGTGGCAGCACGCCCTGACCGAGGGCCTGGACACGGAATGCACCCCAACGGAGCTCATCCAACAGTGGTCACCCGGGCCCAAACGGCAACACTCGGGGTGGAAGGGCAAAGAGAACGACGGAAAGCCTTTTGCCATTTCCAGACGGTCAAGGAAGAGGAAGGAATCCGTACTGGGTAAGAAGAGTTTGGGGCTTTTGAAAGTGTGCTATTTTTCAACGCGTTTCCACAGCGGGTTGGTTGGTTTCGATTCGTTTTTTTAAACGCTTCGTTTTAATGTGTTTTTGACAAAGAGGAATGACATCCCCTGATCTTAACCCCTTTCTCCGGTGAGCCGTCATGCTGTAAAACTGCAAACAAATCCATTTAAAATCAATCGCAAACCTTCAGGTGTGACAGTAATTGGAAACAGACATTTTTGCTAGAATAATAGTTTTGTGAAAGATACAATTTAGTTTTCCTTTTTTTTTTAAAACATTATTTTATTTCGTTAACGACAATGTTTTATTTTGAGTTATTTTGTTAGTTTTCCTGAACTAAAATAACAGCAGACCCTGTCCTAATCATATCTCGTACCAAGTGGTGTGTTGATGGTGTTCGCAGAGGTTTCATGGGACCACCTACCAGATGAGCTGATCCTCAGGATCCTCTTCTTCCTCCCACTGCACGACCTCCTCAAGACGTCCGTCACTTGTAGGCGATGGCATCGTTTGGCGTAAGTCTTGAGGCCCCACCCCCCAAAAAAATATATATGATTTTTTTAATGCAGCACACACGACAGCAAGAGGATGATGAGATTGTTGTAAAATGATATTTCCGATTGCTCAAACCTGAGTGGATGATTTGAGAATCCCTTCAGTTGATGGTCTCGCTCGTCCCCTGCACGCGCCTTCCAGGTTTGATGAGTCACTGTGGCATAGTGTGGACCTGGAGGGGGTGACCGAGATGGTTCCGGCACTGCAGCAGGTGTTGAAGACGGGGGTGCGCAGGCTGCGATGTCCTCGCTCTTTCATTAACGACCTGCAGCTAACGGGCATGTGGTGAGTTCGGGCATTCATGTGGCTTGTCTGTCTGAGTTTATTACTGAATTGGCCATAATCAGTCATGAACTTTTTTTTTTTTTTTTTTAAGATAAACACATTTACCCGCCTGCCGAATTCTACCAAACTCAATTGTGTTTTGTCCTGTTGTTAGCGCACTGCAGATTGCTGAAATGGATCTTTCCAGCTCCATCGTCACCACGCCCGCCCTTGAGAGTATCATCTGTCGCTGTAATCTTCTCCAGTGTCTTAGTTTGGAAGGCCTGCAACTCTCCGACAGCATTATCAGGTGAGTTCTCTCCTCGCTGCCGCCTCCTCTGGAGTTGTGATCATGGCTTGCTACTGCCAATAACCGTTTATTTATATATATAAAAATTGAAGGGACCGGCAAGGCACGGACCGCTCTTACATTTTTCCAACCTCTGGTAATTGTGAAACGACAAATACAGTCACATCATGTTCTAAAACACAACGCAATTTACTCTATAGGTGCTCGAAAGCAGGCGTCTTGCAACTGTTGCTAACACGGACGTGGATTTCTCTTTTTGAAATGGGAGGACTCACATGTTGCCGCTTGAATTTCTCTCGCAGGAGTCTGGCCCAGAATCCGAATCTGCGCCAGGTCAACCTGAGCGGCTGCTCCAACTTTGCTGCTGATCCTCTCGCCCACATGCTGCAATCTTGCTCCAGGTCCAACTACTAGTGATGTTAAATCAAGCTTCATGAAGCATTTATTTTTTTAACTCACCGAGATGGTACTCTGGGTTTAAAGATAAATGGGAGCGCAATGAAATTGCATAAAATTTCCACTGCATCTTTCAACTAAGGGTGCCATCTAGAGGAGTGCCAAGAAATCACAAGCGCTTCACGAAGCTTCCTTTTCTCATTTGCCATCACGAGCGACCACCTTCATTTTCCTTTCCTTTCCTTGTCTCCTTGCTACAGAATAGAACAGTTGAACGTATCCTGGTGCCAGTTCACCAACAATCACGTGAAGAGCGTGGTAAATCATGTCAGCGCCACTGTTACGCACCTCAACCTCAGCGGCTACAGAGACGGCCTCACGCTAGACGGTGAGATCTTGACATCTTTCAACTACGATTGAATCCCGTATTTTATATCAAAAGTCAGGTCTTGTTTGAGAAAAGGCTGCTTATTATTCTTCTGTTGATGTCGCATGGAATATTTTTTTTTTTTTAATGAAAGTGAAAGCGATAAAATGCTTCGGGTACAGTGTGCACAAACACAAAAATATATCCTGAATAACACGCAAATCTTTTCTCGATCGACGTATGGGGCACGCCTGCGTTCTCGTATGAAAGCGATCGTGCTTCCCGCCACCGCAGGTGAAAACGGCCGTGCCTGTGCTTCCTCCAGGCTGACTGTTCTCACTTTCTCTTTCTAGATGTGAAGGTCTTGGTTACAAGATGTCCTGATATTCATACACTAGATTTGAGGTATGTTTTGTGTGCATCAAGTGTTTCGTGGCACAGCCATGTGCTTCCTTTACTCGACAAAAATGAAAAGGGTCTAAGTCGTCTATTTTCATCAAGCTGCAGCCGCCCCAAAAAAATAAGTGCTCAACTCTTGTCGAAAAAGTTGGCCTGCCGTAAAATCATGTTTACCTTCAGATGCCGCGGTAGAGTACTCGAGGAGGATTTTGTTTGTTTGCCCACCTCCTGAGTTCTTTGCTGCCGCCGTGTTGCTCCGTTGCAGCGACAGCGCCCAGTTGATGGCCGACTGCCTCCCCGCGCTCTCCGGGCTGCCGCATCTGCACCATCTGTCCTTGAGCCGCTGCTACCACATTCACGTAGCCGCCCTCAGGTGGGTTCCGCCCGCCGTCCGCGCCACTCTCACTTTGGGCCGTCTCATTCCAGTCGACTTGCGTTCTGCTTTGCAGCGACCTCAGGAAGACCTTCCCGGCGCTGCGTTACCTGGAAGTCTTCGGCCTCGTGAACGACGGCCACTTGTCCTCCTTGAGGAAGGAAAGCCCCGGTGTTTCCATCAACGCCATGCCTTTCTCGGCCGTCGCCCGGCCCACGCCGGCCGGCGGCACGGGCGCCACTGGCGGCCACGGCATGTGGAACAGGAAAATTCGACTGCGCTTCAAGCTGTCGGCCGTTTGACATTTGACCTCCGCGGTGCACGAGGTGATTGCTGGTAAGGATGTTCTAAATCCAAAAACGTTTGTAGGTTGCTTAGGGAATTTATAAATTGACTCGTGTTGCTAGCAAGCTTTCAATGGCACGTTGAATCGAGAGGCTCATATCAACATGTTGGATAAGGCCCTTCGATATTTGTGAGAGTTGGTTTCTAACCTGTATTCTATTCAGTGTTTAAATGATATTTTTCTACATGGAACTCGAGTATAAGTCGGATATCTTCCGTCAAATCCGCCAAACTTGCATCCAATCGGCCACGCCGCCGCCGAGTGTGTTCCGAACTGAACCAGGTCTTGACAAAAGCTGCTCTTTGCAAGACCATCAAGTTGGACCTTCTTGTCCTTTTGGATGAACAGTTGCCGTTAGTATTTTCTATTCAAATGGACTTCACTTGTGAACTTGTCATCTGCAAATAAAACAAGAGAGTGCCAAAGCCTTTCTGAGCGTCATTTCCATTTTATTAGTGGAAGTTGAATGTGCTCATGCTTGACCTTTTTTTTTCTTTCTATGCGCCAAAAAGTACGCTGGTGCAATGGTTTGGCTCGGCAGTCCCCAACTGCCGCCGGTACCGGGCCACGGCCCATTTGGTCGCGGGCCACACACAGCCAGACCGGCGAGCTTGTGTCGTCAGCACATTTCTGCCGTCGGGCATGGCGGAAATGTGCGCCACTCGAGCTGACTTCAACATTAACAGGCACTCCATTCTCAGAATCACCAAAAAAGCTGCTTTTTCCTACTCGACATTTGACCAGGAGCAAAAGGCCCCTCTCGCTGTTCAATTCTCTCTTTAGCACGCGAATCTTTCTTTAAAATCTTATTGGCTGCTAGCACAACTACAAAAATACGGCCCAAAAATATCTTTTCAAACAAATCTGTGCTTCCACTTTCAAAAAGATGCGTCGGGGGGAGATAAATCGGAACAAACACAAAAAAAGTATTTCCCCCGAACCTCACGGTTGTTGAGTGGTTGCCTCGTTGTCGGTCTTACGCGCTGCGGACTGGCCTCAGTTATCCAGAACAAGCGTGCGGAGGCGATCGTCCTCGCTCATGCCGATGGTCGCGATGGCGCCGTCGTTGAACTCGAAGGAGCTCCCGCCGTCCACCACCATGCAGGCGTCCCAGCAACGAGAGCGAACGCACACCCTAAGGGAGAGCACAGTTGAGCCAGGGAACATTTGGACTCCATGCAGGAGGCGGCGGCGGCCACCGACTTGCTGGCGAAGCCTCTCTGCCGGCTACTGGAGAACACTCGGTTCACAATTGGCTCCCGGATGCTGAAGAACAAGCGGCGGTCCTCGGGACTGAACACCAGCGACTCGTTGTACTTGTCGGTCACTAAGCGCGCAAAAATACGACGGCGTTGAGAAAAGCCAACAGTGAAGAAGGGGCTCGGACAGGCTCACCTTTCTCAATGAATTCAAGGTGGAGCGGAATGGCCAGGCCCGTTTGACATTTTCCTGAAAGAAAGGAGCAACGCGCTGACGGGCGACCGGAGACGTGCTTTGGTTTCACAGACTTTGTAATAAGACGAGGTACCTATTTTTAAGATCTCGTTCACCGCTTGCTCAGCAAGTTTGTTGATGTTATATGACCTGGAGGCAGGGGAGGGGGAAAAAAAGTCTTCAACAACGATGGTCGGGCCTCGATTCCACTTACGGAGAAATAAAAGAACCCGCGCAAATCGCCGAAAACCCCTTTGCAGTGTATACACACACACAGCTCAGTGTGCTTACCAGGCTTTGGATCCTGTTCCTGTACAAATGCTGAGCCCCGAACTCTTCTGCTTTTCCCACGGGCCGTCATCCACCGAGATCTCATAGTAAGACGCCCTGAAGGAAGGGAGCAAGTTCAAGCGGCGACAAGCCGAGACGGACGACGTGATGGCGGTCGCGTCGGCGCCACCTGGACGAAAGAGACTCTCCAATGAAGATTTCATTCAGGCTCCTGACGGGGAGTAGACTGGGCTTGGAGGAGCTTTCGTTGGGTGTTCCGGTTTCTGGGACCCAGACGAGAGAAGCCACGTTTGAGAGTAAACAAAAGCCCGCAAAGTGTGGCGAGGAGCCAAAAAGGATGCGGGCGAAGGCCTACTCTGTCGGTTGCCGACGGTGGTGATGCGATGCGCCTGGCTGTGCTGCTCCAGGCTCAGCTGCTGCTCGTGCAGGTCGAGCGGCGTGGGATTTACGCCGGTGCCCTCGAGGTGCAGTCGCAGCCTTTGGCGCCACTGCCACCTGAACGCGACATTGAGAAGCTCAGAACCAGATGCGCTCCCCGATACGACTACCCAGCCTACTCAATAACATCAACAACACGAAAAACGGTCAGTGATTGCAAAATAAAAGCTGCTTGCAAGATAAATGGCGCACCGATGCCCAAGAATATTTACGCACCTGAACTCACCACGGAAGAGTTTCCCCAGCGCCTCTGGGAATTTGCGAGTGTACTTTACAGGCAAGCACAGATGACCCTCTGACCTTTATTAGAGACCAAAATACAGAGTTTGTGATTGATTTGGAGGGGGGGGCAAGGGGGGGGATGAGGATGACAAGGCAACAAGTTGTAGCAGAGCCACGGAAGACGAAACAGCATATTTGAATGAATTGTGTTTCAAAGTTGTTCCCAAGTACAACTCAAAACACTGCTGGGTTGTGTGGTACCTCTCCGGGTCTGTGTTTACTCCAACAACTGGTTTGTCCTTGCTCAAAACCTTACTGGCAACAAGCAGCATTGTCCCATCTCCTAACAAAACAACCTGCAGTTAGAGAACATGGAACTTGACACGTTTTTGAAGTTTTAGGAAGGAAAACAACAGCAGGCAGCCACCGCCATGCTCTCGCTGTACTTTGCAGTTCGATAGAGTGGTAAATCGTGTATGTGAATGTGTGTAAAGCTCCTGATGGCAAATAGTGTGTATGTGAGAGAGAGAAAGAACTAAATGAAATGTACGCAAACTTACCTCCAGCAGATATGATGGCATCTGCCCATTGAACTACTTCGGTATCATATTCGCCCCTTTTCACCACTTTCACTTCAATTCCTTCGTTCCTACAAAAACATATTTCAAAGTGCCTTACGCAGTAGCACCCACCACAAGGCAAAAAAACACCATCTCCAAGTGTAGCTGTGATGATCTGTTTGGGCGGCATCTTACTGCAGGCTTTTCACAATGTGCTCCACGTTGCTTGTGTGGATGTTGTGTCTTTCCAGCAGGCCGCTGTAGCTGGAACCCTTCATAGCAAGCTGCGAAACACATTCAAAGTTCATGTTTTTTGTTTTTTTTTTTTATCTTTAATCAGCATTCAGCATCAAGTAAGGACACTCAAGTCTTACCAGCTGCTTTAGGTCCTCCTCGGAGAGTCCCGCATAACGATAACGTTGCTGTTCGAACTCGTATCGAGTCGTCTTGGTAACCACCGCGACTTTCCCAGGTTTGAAGCCAAGTTCATGTTTTTTTTTTTAATCTTTAATCAGCATTCAGCATCAAGTAAGAACACTCAGGTCTTACCAGCTGCTTTAGGTCTTCCTCGGAGAGTCCCGCATAACGATAACGTTGCTGTTCGAACTCGTATCGAGTCGTTTTGGTAACCACCGCGACTTTGCCAGGTTTGAAGCCGTAGTTTGGTTGGGTTGAAGAGTAGGACGACGAGGTGTGAATTGGGCATAGGGAAGTTCGACTCGCCACGTGACGCCCAATACACACCAACGTCGTCACCGAACGGCAAGCCATACTTTAAGAAACGCAAAAACACTAAACTCCGAGTCTCGCAAAGTGTGCTGAACGACGCACCCGTTCGGTGCGACTCGTAAGCGTCCAACAGAATGACTCGTGTCAAGTTTGTTCATCCATTCGTAGGGGCGAGGAGCTCTTCAATAAGAAGTGGGAGTACTACGCAAAGTCTGGAAGGTCACCGTGTCCACAGGCTTACATGAATTGTGGAGAACTTTTAGTAGTTCTCCAGTCGCTTCGCTAACATGTAACACTGGTGCACATGTCATAAACGAAGTGCTTTTCGTGTCTATGTTATTGCGGTTACCAGTACAAAGCTAGCACGTTGTTAAAATATCGTAAACAAGAAGTCCCATGCTTGATGTAGCGACTGGATTAGATCTTATCGTAAATTGCACTAAAACTGCGTCCTACACAGACACACACACACTCCCACCAATGGCTTTAATAAACGACGGGAAAATTTAAATTCCAAAACAAGTGTGGACCTGACCCGCTTGATACGACCATGGAGCTTCCAACCTAGCGCAGTCCAACCTAGCACGTATTTTTCCTACGTAATGACGTCAGCGCACTCTTATTGGCTACGTGGAGGGTGATGTCAGATTGGTGGGTGTGTTGTGTTAGTAAAGTTGTTGAGCATGAGGTGTGTTTCCAATAAAGTAAAATAATTGGAATTTAAAAATACTTTGTTACTGTTCATCTTAAATTTTTGAGTTACAAATAGTTTGTATTGAATATTAACATGTATGTTATAAAATATATATATTTTTTTCAACGCGTCAATTATGTTTTTGCAGATAATACATTCGATTAAACTTTAGGTATTTTAAAATACAAATTACATTGTACCATCATGACCCCTGTACCAAAAGTATGAAAGTTAATCCTGCCAAAAGTGAAACCTGCAGCTCTGTTTTCTTGAATCCTTAAGAGGAATCATCATGTTGTCACGCAAGCCATTTAGAATTTGGTCTTTGTTCAAGTTAAAGTTTGGCTTCCGCTTTTGAAATTGACAAAATGGAAATCAAACAAAAATTGTAAACAACAGCAAGAAACAGGATTGTTCTATTCGTACTTTTTGTAGAAGAAGAATTTAAGATATGAGAAAATCTGTGCTGCATTGTCCAAGATGAATGCACTTTCCATTTTTAGTACAGTATACAGAAAATATGGCATATAGTACCTACATAAAAACATGGACAAAATTGTCAGTAGCCCTATGTAAATAACAGAAAAAAACGACAGTGGTCAGAGAAATAACTTAATCTTTTGAATTGTGGGTTCAACAGAATTATTAAAAAAAAAAAACTCATGAAACACGCCTCAACAAAAATTATAGCACCAATGGCGCTGGTCCACAGCAAATTTGGTAAATAAAATCTTGCGCGTGACCGATTTTATGATGCGAATCCCACAACTCTGTGGGACGTACGCGCTAACCAGTCGCTCACCGTGCCGCCCAATTTTGAATATTGAAAAAGGGAAAAAAAAAAAGCTTGGTCAGGGACTATTTTTCCATATAGTGAGCTCATGATGGAAGAAGTTCTACTTGTTTTTAGCTAATTGCGGCGTGGCGTATTCTCGGTGGAAACAGCTCAAACTATAACATGTCCCCAGTGCCACTATGTGTGTCCTCTAAAGCTGTTTGATTTCATTTGGTGGAAACGGCTACATAAAAGCACCAAGCCGAGGGTAGTGTGTCAGAGGGATCAGCGACCAATGGGAGATCATTTTCCAATTTGTCTTCTCTGGTGTCCCGCCCTGTCCCTTTTGCTCTCTCTCTCCTCCCGATTATTGTATGGGTAGGAGAGCACCATCTCGACTCATATTCTGCGTTCTGCAGTTTGACAGGCTGTTCCTCAAAGAATCCCAACGGCTTTTTTCAGTACACCTGCAAGGTAGGCCTTACTTAGCTGAGAAGTACTTAACAGCAAATTTTCTGCCTTGAAATGACCGGCTCACATGTTGTGCATTGCATTAGGTGCTTATGAATTGTTAGTATTTGATTTGTGCGTGCGTGTACCAATCAGAATTTAAAAAATCATCCCAAAATGCGTTATCAAAATCTACTTCTCAACATCACCGACTGTAAATTTGTGCTGTGCAGGATGCAGCGTTTCAGAGAAGGCATCCACATCCGCGCCATGAAAGCCAAGAGGAAAGTGGAGGAGATCTCCAAAGAGGACATCCAGACTTTCCTAAAAAAGAATGCCTTTGTTCTGTTCACGGTCGGTGCAGTGATTGCAGGTGAGTATGCCTCATCAAACTAAACAGAAGGGGGCGGAAAAAAGCATTCACATGACACGGAGGCTCCTTCACCTCCGTTGCCTTTTCAGGGATCATTTTGGGCTTTGCGTTGCGTCCCTACAAGATGTCCTATCGAGAGGTGAAGTACTTTTCTTTCCCTGGAGAGCTACTGATGAGAATGCTGCAGATGCTTGTTCT